AATCGAACCACTTCTACGTGGCCCTGCTTGGCAGCAGAGTGCAAAGCCGTATCACCACTGGCCATTATGGCGTTCTTGTCAGCTCCAGTGTCAACTAGAAATCGCACTACTTCTGAGTGACCCTGCTTGGCTGCACAAGGGGGGGGTAGCGCTGCGAGTGTCCCAACCTGTCGCGGGTTAAGGACACGCAAAGCCACTCGCTAGGCAGAGTCCTCAGGGAGAGTACAAGCTGCCTGCAGGGTTCTACGCCGTAACGTGTGCTCTTCGTGTCGGATGTTTCCCATTTGTTGAAGAAGGTCCAAACAAGAGTCGAGAGTCATCCCAGGGCCCCACCCTAAACGCTCAGTAAAGTCGGAAACCGGACGCGGTATCACCCGCAGCGCAGCGAAAAGCCGGCAGACCCACAGCGCATGATCGATGGAAGGGACCACGGGCTCATGGCAATATGGACAATGCTGAGGACGGACAGCAGCATGGACAGTAGCAGGAGTGGACATGCCCCCCACTAAAACGGCCGCCGCCTCCCCGGACACCCGTTTGACAAGCCCTTTGAGCAATGACCCTATATGCTCGGAGTACTGCAAATTCAGCTCACGGCCAATAGCAGAATCACGTCGTTGTCGATTTTGCAACCAACTGTTAAACTGCCAAGACCGCCAAGACTCGCGGAAATGGTGAAGCATTTTCCCAAAAAGGGCCGGTTGAGACCGGATGTCCAAAAGAACCCCGGACGCGTGCTCCCACACGCCCCACTGGCGAGGAGTCCAGCACCAACGTCTCATCTCAACATTGACTTTACGCAAAATTCTCAAATCAGGGAGAGGAAACATCATCTCAATCCCAAAACGCTCCCACCAGGAGCACAAGGTTGCTAAGACCCTTTGAGTGGCAAGGAACGAGAGATCGCCACGGTGCCCCCAACGAGCCAGGAGTTCAAGATTCCGAGAAGCGCGACCATGTTGGCCACCCATGCAAGCTTTCCGAAACAACACACGCCAAGCTGACGGCTCATGCGTCATGCGACCAGTGATGAGCTGGTTCCAAACCGCTTTATTGGACATCATTGAAGCCGCCACATCGGCGCGAACAGCAATGGAAGACGGCAGCAAACTGATGCGAGAAGCAAGTTTGTTGACTGCCTCAATACGCTCCAATTCCTTTTCATGCATCGCATCGCCGCCACACAAGACTGAACCCAAAACAATACCAGACTCATTTGGGTCGTTTAGTGACCAAACTTGCGTCTTAGCAGCATTGCCTCGCATGCGTGAGACGCTTTCAAGTTCAAGCCAGGAGTCAAGAACGCCCTGCACATGCTGCCTGTGCACCAAGGAAGTCCGATCGTCGGCATACAAATAATGTGAGCCGGGAACTTGATCGCACAATTTTGCGAAAGGAGCGGCCAAAAAACATGCTAAAGCCAAAGGACTAAACGGATCGCCCTGCGGAATTCCCGTCGCGTTCCTCACAGGACACGGGTGCACCGCGCCGTCGAAGGAGAGAAACTTATAGTGAGAACGCCACTGGGCTCGCAACGCATTGAGAACCGAGACAGGGGCACCCCACTGCTCAAGGATCCAAATCGACACCGGCCAACTGCTCTTATCAAAAGCCTTTTCGAAGTCAAGGGACACTCCAGTGTCATGGCCTTCACACTGCTGTTTCACTTGCATATCGAGAAGCAAAACCTGAGGGTTAACCCCGCCCGTACCACCCGCATGTCTACTGCTAAATTTTGATTGCAAAGCCTGACCTAGTTGATGCGCCCTCACGCTGGACCACAGCCGGTAGAGCGCAGGGCCGATGGCAATCGGACGCACTTTCATGGTCGACGTTGCACCTGACTTCACCTCCTTGGGGAGGTACACTACTCTCCACGCCAACATGCCATCCGGCCACACGGCATCTGTCTCACATCGTGTGAGAATGTCAACAAGCTGCAACCAGGCTTGGTTTGGGAGAACAAGCAACAAAGCAGCACTCCAGCCGTCACAGCCAGCAGCCGTCTTCTGAGCTTTCTGAGCGGCCTTGCGCAAGTCAGCCACATCAAGTTCCGGCACTGAAAAACCATCACTTTGCAGGATGAAAGGATCATACAACCTACGATATTTGTCAACCGCCAAGGTCTCATCGGGGTCACCACAAAAAATCGGTTGCCAATCCTGAAAAAGAGCTTCAACGCCAGACTGCTTACCGAAAACTAAAGTGCCATCCGACTGCTGAAGCACAGGAGGTGGGGGCGAAGTCTTCTTAACCCAGGCACAGGCGCCAGCCAGCGAAGATACCTGCGCCTTCCAGCGGCGCGCCAGATCCTTCTGCTTATCTTGGATCACCTGCGTGAGGTCCTTTTTTGCCAAAGATTCTAAGCCTGGCCAATCCTCTTGCTGAATAAGCTCCACACCAACAGGAAATGACCGGACCAGAGACTGCACGAGTCGCGGATTGACCTGCCCACGCGTCGCCTGAAAATGAGCTTCGCAAGCTCGTCTGTACACTCGCCGTGCCTGGCGTTCGCGAATTGCCTGCCCAACGCCCTTAGAAGAACCACCCAGCCGAATTTGCGGAGAGCTGCCCAAACAAACTTCACCTTGGTGATCGGACAAAACCTGGTTCAAGGTTAAATATCGTTCAGCCGCCAGATTCCAACATTTCCACAGTTCATTGATGGAGCCGGCTCGCACAAGCTGTTGCCAGTGTTGATGATCGACCGAAACAGACGACCAGGAAACAAGCTCCGAGAAGGGGCCAACAGGTTCTCTCTTAGCTCTATGCCTAGCAAAGCGCATCTCAGGGAGACAAGGCTGCATTTTTGATCTCCACAGGCCGACAAGTAACGCGTCATGATCGGAGCCATATTTGAAGTTTTCGGCAGCTTCACAGTGAGGGTGGAGCGCCGAACTTGCAACAATTGCATCAATAGCGTGGCTTCCCTTTTGGTGAAGACCAGACGAAACCAGTGTACCATGCCATGCCAGGAAGACATCGGCAAACCTAGACGAAGAAACGTCGACGTTCCAATCTCCAGTGAGAATCCACGGCTTATGCGGAATCTCCGCCAACCAATCATTAAGAACACCAAAGATCTCAAAGGTTGACTTGGGACGTCGATAACCTGTGATCACCGTCAACATTTCACAACCAGGGGCCCCAGCAGTAACCATCAGAAGCTGAGCATCAGAGCTGTGAAACGATTTGACAACAATGCAACTCCAAGGGTCTTTGCAAAGGATACCAACACCTCCTCGCAAAGTACCAGCAGGCCTAGGAACGGCCGTCAAGTGCCACCCCGCTTGCCGTGCCGCTTGGCCGGCTCCAGGAATGGCTTCCTGTGCAAGGTTAAGTTCTTGCATGCACACCAATCCTACACGCATCTGAGCCGCCCGATGGAGAAGTTCCACACCATGGGTTTCAAAGGAACTGACATTGGAGCTAATAACGCCAAGAGAGCGCGGTCCAGGATTGGGCTCAACGCCGTCAGCGCACAAATCACGCCACCACTGGCAAGACTGTAAGGGAGGAAGTTTGGCGACCTCAGTTTTCCCAATTCGATAGCTCATGGAATTTTCAAGCAATTCAACCTCAGCCAAGGACAGCGCACACTCCTTGACAAAAGTCTTCAAGTCATCACCGCTCTTCAAGCGCATGCGATGCCACAATTTCCACCTGCGGCGTTCCCAATTCCCCTTACGACCTTTGCAAGGCTTTCCAGGAGAGCAATGCGCCAAGCCTTCAAAATGACGACAGCACTTCTTACAAAGAAAAGCAAACCCTTTAGTTTTAACCGTCCAGTCTTTAGACCTGCAAAGGTCATGACCAGTCAACTTCACAAGCTCGTTCATGCGACCGAGCACCGCTTCAGCATGCACCTTTCGGGCTTTCAAACTCATTTGTTTCAAGCGGTCTTTCTCTTGAATGGACTGCACTCGATTCTGCCGAGGAGTCATGCCAGAGCAAGCTTTCAAGTGATGACGAACAGCCCGTTTGAATCTGTACGAGTTTAGCGACGGCAGGCCAGCCTGACAAGCAGTACAAGTCCACGACCTTTCAGATGCAGGAAGAGCAACGCTGGCAATCACAAGCGGCTCCATATGTTTGATGCGATTAGCAAGTGATCTCTCCTTGGGGTGGGCTCTATCCAAATGATGCCTCCGTTTGTGAGACAGCAGATTCTTCTTCTCAGCCCTCGCAGTATGACCGCACAAGTTGCAAGTCCACGTCAAGTGGTCCAACATCACAGCAAGGTCACGGGTTCCATGAACACGCTGTTTTCCAACCAGGCGCCTTCGCACGCCCTCAAGCCCAGACAAGGAGACCTGCCAAGAAGTACCACCACAAGAAGTTTCAGACTGACAAGACACACGCGGCGGCATCCAATCAGAGGCAGAAGGGGGAGGGGGGGCCGGCAACCACTCAGAAACGGACTCATCAAGAGCGTGGTCTTCTGGGACAGGGGGAAGCCAAGAATCCGAGACAGAACGTTCAGAAGAACCGGCTCCGCGCAACACATCTGTGTCAGAAATCCGACACACAGAAACCGCTTTGGTCCATTCGGCTGGCAAGGAGCAACCTGGTTTGGCGCGCAGAACCTGGTAGTGATCATTCCGAAGGGACAAAACAATGGGTTCACGCAAGTTTCTACATTCTCCAACCGCGATGGGTTTCTCCCAGCCATCTTCTTTACCACCTCGGACAACAACAATACGAGCACCAAGACGCAAAGCAGCCGCGCGCAACGTATGTTGGCACAACCACCGACCAGGTCTCAACAACGCTTTCATCCAAGACTCCCAACAAACAGGGACATCACCGTCTTCCGTGGTTTTGTTCCAGTGGGGATCAGCAATCCACGTTTCACGAAATTCGCGTTGGTGTTCAAGAATATATTGGTGCACCTGCTGTCTCAAAGTGCGGCCTCTCGTGGGCCCCTTGGCCTTGATGCTTGGCTGCACAATGCAATGCCGTCTCACCCCTTGCCATTGTAGTGTTCTTGTCAGCCCGGGCCTCAACTAACAATCGCACCATATCCACGTGGCCATTCTCAGCTGCAACATGAATGGGCACATTTCCATCTATACCTACACCATTTGGGTCTTGTGGTCTGTGGAGAAGCCTCTCAACCTCTTCCAGATCATTTTTCTCACAGCATTTAACCAACATCTGCTGCCTCAAACTGTCAGGAGGACAAAAGTCCAAGATCACAATCTGCACACCATCAGGCAGTGGTATCAAAGGCATGTCATCCTGCAACTCGAGCTCTCCCAAGAGTCTTTGTCGAAACCTTGAATACCCGATCCTATTAGCAAGGACTTGTTTCAAGTCCTTCACGGTCTTATGACTTTCCACCATTTCGCTGTATTCGTCCTCACTAAGTTCGGCCAGGGTGGCGCCGGACACGGCCCGAACCTGCATGAGAGGGATAGTGCGTCTTTGGCGCCCTGCATTAGAGGGAGGAAAGTGAGTTCAACGTACACGAGCAAAGCATCGATATTCTCCCTTCCATGGCACATTGTGGACCCTACTTGGGTGAAGACTCTATCGAAGCACCGTGGCAAAGCTTACCAACTAAAGCTGCAAAGCATTTACAACTTAGGGTGTTGTTTTTTATTTGTTTTTTTTGTGTGTGTGTATGTTTGTGTCTGTCTGTCTGTCTGTCTGTAAGTAAGTAAGTATGTATGTATGTATGTATGTATGTGCCCTGTCGCATCACGAGGGGCAACAAGTCTCCTTGTTGCTGCAGTAGCTTCGACCACAATCGGACGATTCTGACAGGTGTTTTGAGGGAGCACCCGGAATTCTTTGGAGGAATTGAGAACAGAATCTTTCACGTGTCTGGTCAAACATTTTTTCTTGTTTTTAGAAGCTTGGTTTTAATCCAGGGTCATCTTTAAAAACACAACAGGTGGAAGAGTCACTTGCCCTGGCGGCAAAGTCTGAGCCAAACCTACTAGAGATGGCCTCCAACCTACTACCGATGAGGTTTTTGATGGTTTTTGCCCTTACGACAATCTTCAAGGCATTGGAAATTACCACCAGTCGCAAACCAAGGGTCTCCGAGCCAGCTCGCGGAGAGCTACACCCTCTGCTGAACCTCGAAAACAGCATCACCAAGCCCCGCCCCTCCTGCTCTTCTCGCTGTTCTCATAGGAAAAACTCTTGCCACCTGGGAACGTCTTGCAGGTGTGAGAACGTTGGACGACTCTACCGGGACTACGCAGTACGGGGACTCTACTGAGACTGCGCCCTGAAAAGAGTCCGACTTTGGCAGTGTCAACCAAACACCCTTGTGCATGGAAACAAACACTACCCTTTAAAAACACGCACAAAGAAAGAACTTGCTCTTTGGGACTTTGGTAGCTTGAAACATCTGGAAACGCAAGTACGATGTTGCGTTGAACCCACCCGAGGATTCACTTCTTTCTATGTGCCCCGTCACTCAACAAACAAACTTTTGCCTCACCCTCCGTCTGCTGCAAACCTACTAGACCTAGCATCGCGTCTGCCAGTTTCACCACATCTGGGTCCCTTTCTGCGATGCACTCGTTACTAGTGTTCAGTCTCTCTGGGACCTCCCGGCCGAAGCCGCCCCAGCGCTTCCGCTTCCGAGCCTTCAAAGGCGCCACGAACGGCGACGTTCGCGAACGGCGAACCAGCAGGCATCCGAACTGAGCGGAGCAAGGTGGCAAGGCTGCTCTTGGCCGCTCTTGGCCCATCCGTCGGTATCGTTTTGTGTGAATTGGGAGCATGAAGCGAAGCAAGGCTTCCTACCAAACGATTGGGAATATGACTTCATCCCATTAGGCAGTTGCTATTAGGTTGGAGGCCATCGCTATTAATTAGGCTTTTCCTCCGGTCGGTTGCGAAGGTATGGTTTGTTGATGTAAACATGCAAAGAACAGGAAGACCTTCACGACCATAGATACGCAACCCGGAATACTTTAAACATCTTGAAGGAAAAATACACAATGTAAAGAAACAACACCTAGGAGCAAGGATGCTACTAGGGGCTCCTGGCCGTACTACTAGGAACAAGAAGCTACTAGTAACAAAGGGCATCGCTACGAACGGAGCAAGGATGCTACTAGAGGGTCAAAATCGACGATCACTCCACCGGCGGTTCGGCATCGTGGCCGCAGCGTTCGCTTCGCAGTTCGAAGCACGCTTGGGATCCCATGCTTGTTTCTAATAGCTTCTTGTTACTACTAGCAAGGCCCTTTTTACTAGTAGCGATGCACTTGTTCCTAGTAGCGTCCTCTCTTCAAAGGCTCGCGATCTCGAGGCTTCAAGGTCGATTTTGGGCGGGGGAACAATAACTGCCGCAGCATGTCGCGGTCCATGACAACTGTTGCAATCGCATCATCCAAGGATGCTCCATTGAAGCATAAGCTGAAAATCTCACGAACAGCTTGCTGGTCGGCTTCTTCGGCTTCAATCACATCGGGGAACCGGAAATTCTCGCCCACATCCTTGGTATAGTATTCCAAGAACTTGTCGCTGTAAAGAGACCATCAGATGACACGCGCCCACCATGCTGTATGCATTGGCTCGGATCTGCAAAAGGTTTTGCACTTGAAAGGGGGCTGCTGATGGTTCTTTGTCCCACTGATCCTCACAGAAACCAGCACCAAAAGCCAAGGCCTCTAGGAAGCAATCCTTGGCATCACCGCTGCGCCGACCCTTCAGTGAAGCAGCTCCTTCTTCACTCAAGATCTTCTTCCAAGGAATCCAATCCTCTGCGCATGTGCAGTATTCAGCAAAGACATGCTGGGCAACGAGCTTTTCCAAATCGCGCCGCATTGACTCGCGTCAGCCACTGACAAGGACTGGTTGCAACCCACCAGCGCAGTCACTAATCCACTGTTACCATTCAAGTGAGCAGCTGTATCAACGTCTGCGGTAGGTGCTGGCGCAGATTTGCTGGATGCCATAATGTTCTTCCAGAGCGCTTTGAATTTCCCCACCAGAGGATGAAAGGTCCAAGTTGTGTCGGATGCATTGTCCACAGCTTTCTCTGTGACAAGAAAGTGTTGTAAGAATGCCTCAAGTACGCCTTCGTCTTTGAATTGGAAGGCTTCCGAGGATTCGTAGCCCAAGGCAATGAGCTTCTCTTGTACCGCATCTGGAATTTTAGCAGCCGGTAGGGCAGTCATCCAAGTAGGTGAAGTCATTGGCGCAACAGAAGAAGAGCGAACAAGAAGCACGTCAATTTGCTGTATGAAATAGCCGTGAACAACGACGAACTATAGATGCGAGCTTGGCACAAGCGATAAATCATGCGCATTCGCCATGAAAGAACCACAGCCCAGTCAACTGGGACAGCAACCCAGGGCGTGTGTCCAAGAATATACAGCCCAGTCAACTGGGACAGCAACCCAGGGCATACGCGCGTCCAATAATTGCCTTGTCCATAATTGCCTTTTTATTACATCACGCCAGCCCAGACATAGGAACAAGGCGGTTAATGGCTTGTTTCACTTGGGAAAGCAACCCCAATGTCCACACAGCTGGAAACCTTTTAGTCCAGGATCCGTGTCCCGCAGATCATACCAATCAGAGACCACTGTACCAGGTCTACAAGCAAGACACCAATGGCCTTCTTCTGCATGCTCCTCTGTATTCATATGCACTGTGCGGTGATACCGACCAGTACGCGAGTTGAGAAGCCAAGGCCCGGCGTACTGAGTTGGCTCTGGTACCGCAGACTCATCACTTTCATCTGCATAGCTGTCTGAAGAGGAATGTTCAAATTGCGCCGACCTGCTCTCTCCTTCCTCTTCAGATTCAGAATCAGTGTGGTCTGATTCTTTACGTAATGATGCCAACGCAGCTGCATCTTCCGTGATAGACCATGCAGATAGGCCCCTGTTTAATGGCACGTGTGGGCACCACCCATTGGTCACATTTTTCAGGATTTTGGTTTTGCAAAGCAACTGCGGCCAAACATCATCCCACCCATTTTTTTGGACACACATGCTTGGTAGGCGATGGTGTCCCTGCGCTGCCCGCAGCTCGCACAAGTTCAATTGCGCCGCCCAACTCAAAGTAGTAGTTTGCAGCTGTGCAATGTGAAGCGTTGCGCCTCAGCTGGTGTCAGGCTTGCATATGTACTCAAGCAGCGCCTCATCTGCGCTAGCATAGAAGTGTAGGTCATGGGAACCCCTCCGCTACCTACCAGGAAATCTCTCAAAGGTAGCTCTGCTTTGCAATTCAATAGGCGCTGGCCCCAATTGCTACCGGATACACCAGCCACAAGGGCTCCAAAGGGCATACCGTGTGAGGCAACTTTTGTGCGCCAACACCAACCCCGCAAAGAACCATCGCGCAATAGCAAAGAGGAGAATTGTAGGCGTTGCACATCACTCCAGCAGAGCAGCAAGCAACCCAGCAACCAGCTGTCATCCTCATTGCAGTGTTGCACTTCCAGCTCAAGTTTGGCCACCACGCTCAACGGTAAGGGCACTGCTTCCTTGGATGCTTTGGGCTGCCATTTGTCTTGCGCGAGCCATGCTAGAACCAAATGGCTTTTAACACCAGATAGCAGCTTCTGCGCGCCCAGCTTGTGTCCAACTAACTTCATAGCTTGCACGACCGCTTTGGCTTTGCTGGTCCGCTGTGCTCCCCTATCTGCAATGGCTCCCATGGATAATGCTTGGCAAAAATCCAAAATAGTAGCACTGGATGGCTCGCCAAGGTTGAAACCAGATGCGCGAGCAAACTCCAGCCACTTGCGCCAACCGCATGAATGCTTAGACAAAGTAGCGGCAGCCCGGTCTTCCAAAAGAAAGGCTAAGTCCGCCCCCGATTTGTTAGGGATCTCAGAAAGTACATCGCTCTCTGCCCTCAAATCTTCAGCCATGATAGCCCATTCTTGCGCCAACTGCTTGCGCTTCTGATCATCTTGAAGTCGCATAGAGCTGGAAGCCACCCCGACACCTGTAACCCCACTGGCCTGTCGTACTGCAGGCTGCTGATGAGCAGCGCATTGCATCATGGGCTCAGCTGCCAGCTGTTGCACCTGAAAAGGTGAGATGAAGGCCACCCTTCTGTGAGTTGGCCGCGGCTCCCCGGCAACAACTCTTCAACCCTGAACGGGGAAGGTTGCGCGGCCCATTTCATCAGCACAGCAAAAGAAAGGGAACTCCAGCAAGAAAAACCAAGTAAGAATTTTGCACGCAGAAAACGCCTTCTGCCCCCCAACACACAGCCGTCAAACACTAGGCAACAGCATGATCAATCCTTAAGCTAACTAAGCACCAACCCAGTTCAAGCACGACCCACCGCTCGAGCAACTTTTCCATGGATAGCTGCCACAAGGCTGTGCAAGTCTGAGCAGACTGCCACCACATCATAGCCCCAACTGTAAAGGTGGCAGCATGGTAAGAGTGATGGCACCAAGCAAAGCCTCCCTATCAAGAGTGCCCACTTGCCAACCATGGTGCAGATAGGACATCGGCCAAGTCAAATGCAATCCGCCGAGACGGGGCAAAACCACAGCCCGCTGCCACATTTGGCCCCCATTTCTTTTGGCTTCTTCAATGCCCCCGGCCAGAATGTATGCGAAACCAGCCTCCACATCTTGCATCATCAAGCTTCGAGCAAGCTGCAAATTTTCCCCTGCGCTCTTCCAGGGAGAAGTATGAACTAGCAACGCGTGATCTAGCTCAAAATCACAATCATCAGCCTTGTCCCAGACCTGGGGTGGGGCAATAGGCTTTAGGTTACCTGTTGGCACACCCTCCTTAAGCAACTGAGGCAACTCTGCATCAACATCTGTTGTTGCAAATAACAGGGCTTGCCACGCATCAAGCAAGAATGGTTGGTGAGGGGGGACTGCCGTACTGCATGGAAAACTACGTGCTTGCAGAAACTCGACCAAAGCCTTCTGAAGCAATACTCACTTGCCGAAAACAAGCATTGATCCTTGCCCTCTTGTACCAAAGACCTAAGACGAGGGATGATACCCCAATCCCGCATCCAACTCAAAAATAGACTGCGCAACTCTTTCAACCTATCTACAGGTTCCTGAGGAATCACCCAGCATGCTGTAGACATCACACCACCCCCATCTGCAATGGGAATCCGAACAACTGCTGGCCAATGACGGCTGCGCAAAAGAGGATTGAAGGCCGTGGCCCGCGGGAACTGTAGAGGATTCAGCCAAAGTCCCAACTTTTGAAGGTTGCACATAATTGGATTGAAGGCCCGAGCGCACAGAACCATGCGCTGCTGACCCACATGTAGCAGAAGACTTGGCTTCCGAATTTACACACCCCACACTTGATTTGGATTCAGGCGTCCACACTTGATCCGGGGAGTCCACTTGCAGGGCATCGACATCTAGTCGCTCATGCTGCTTGGCCACTTTGCATTGAGCGGCGTGATGCTTCTCACTACCGCACTGGGCACAGGCATGTTGGAATTTGCATGCTCGGCTCTTGCACTTGCTCTCACGCCAATTGAAACACTCCCTTGGGTTTTTAAACCGGCCGTGACTGCTCCTAGTAGCGATGCCCTTTGTTACTAGTAGAGTCCTTGCTCCTAGTAGTACGGCCAGGAGCCCCTAGTAGCTTCTTGCTCCTAGTAGCGATGCCAGGAGCCCCGAGTAGCGATGCTTGGGATCCCATGCTTGACCAGTGTTCACCGCCGTCTGGTGCTCCTTGGTGTTCACACGATGGCAAGCGCCAGAGAGACTGCACGGTTCAAAAGCGGGCTTCTGCCACACCTAAATTTGCCTGGTTGGACGAAACACCCTGCAGCATTCTACAACCTACAGAAAGGGTCCCAGCAGCTTCTGGCTACACCCAAGTCTGAAAAGAAAACGTCATCAGGCCAGCCTCTCTTTAGATCCTTTCTGACACGCCGCTCGTTTCGGTACGCTCCTCAGCGAGTGCTTTCAGCTTGCCCGGGACCTCTTGGTTGCATTGCCGCAGGGCATCCACCATGTCCTGCGAGAAGCGCCGTGAGAAGCACCTGCTCATCAACCCGCTTGCGACCCGCTTCGACTCGGATGAAGTAAAGAGTTCCAGCCAAGAAGCTACTAGTAGCAAGGCACCTTACTACTAGTGCATCACTACTAGGAACAAGAAGCTTTTTAGTATGTCTTTGAAGCTTTCTAGTAACTAGAAGCTTCCTTGGGAATCGTTTCACCTGTAGTAACAAGAAGCTTCTAGATCAAGGTCCAGACCTGATCTACACCAAAACTATGCTGTCTGGCAATTCCTGGTGTGGCTTTCGTTGATATGATGTATATTGTATGGGTACAGGATGTGGAAGGCCTGGAACAAAACATCTCTCACCTAGGTACTTGGAAAGGAAGGTGCCATGTTCCGCTCTTGTTTGTGAACATCACACCATCAATGATGAACAAGAATGGCCGGGTCCCTACCAAGCTCGCCCAATGAATGCGGCGCTAGGTGGCAAAGAAGATTTCTAGACACATCTACGCGACTGAAACTCTACCACTTACTACTAGGAGCAAGGACGCTACTAGGGGCTCCTATTCGACCAAACGATGATGAATCCTTTGGGCGCTCAAAAAAACTGCACCAGCCTGAAATCTGTCTGCCACATAGGAACAAGAAGCTACTAGGAGCCAAGGGCATCGCTACTAGCAGCAAAGACGCTACTAGTAGCTCCTGGCCTTACTACTAGGAACAAATAGCTACTAGGAGCAAAGGGTATCGCTAATGGTAGCAAAGACGCTACTAGTAGCTGCTGGCCTTACTACTAGGAACAAGAAGCTACTAGGAGCAAAGGGCATCGCTACTAGTAGCAAAGACGC